TGACCTCGTGGGAACAAGGGTCATCCAAGCAGAAGATAACTAATGGATAATAAACTTAACCATAGTTTAAATTCACAGGACCTACCCTTGACCACCACGAAGCTAAGACCTACCTCTTTGTGCTTCCATAGGACAATGATGGTACCACTCCTGGTAATCTTCACCCTCTTGGGTGCCACCCAAGAAAACAAAGCCCTCGTAATAGCGGAAAATGAGTTAGCCCTTAAGGTTAAAGCGGATTACGCTGTCGCACACCTAATGGATAGGATTTTTGCTGACATGCTTAGAGATATCAGTTCGTCGGTAGATACACTAGCCACCGGTAGGATCCCACCGTATCTAGTCTCTCTACAGATGGTGAACGACATCCTCAGCTCCGCTACGCACGAAAAAGTTACGCAAACACAGGCACACCTGGCTTACACTCTCGGTAGCGCAATCCCAATCTACGTCAATCACAAAACATTTGAAATGGCGTTCATTATCAACCTACCGATAATTCCCTCAAACGGCATATATAGACTCAGGGACGTCGTAAATGTTGGCAATTGGCACGGCGAAAACCATGTTCAAATTGACACACCAAGGATGGTTGCGTACCACGACGACAACCCCTCCGTTTACCTAGCTCCAAACCTGCAGATGTGTGTTCTCACTCGGGAGATACACTATCTGTGCCCGAGCAAACCGTTTATGTGGAATAAAACCGCGGGCATATGCGGATTAACACCTATTCCGGAAAATTCTAAGTGCTCAACGACCGTAACGCCTCGACACCTGGCTAAAGATGCAAAAGCGGAAATAATTGGCTCTCGTTGGCTAGTGAACGCTCCTCAAAGACAGGCGATCATAGCCTACGATCAACCCGGGGCAAATAGACCTTTGGCGTTACCGGACAAAACGATGTGGATCAGTGTTCCCCAGGGAACAACCATACACATTGGTGATTTGACGCTCTATCACCTCGATCCGGAACGATGGGACGCGACTCTGGATGACTCAGAGTACCTGAGAAATATGTCTATAGACATAGATCCAGAGACTCTGGGAAGGATCCGTTTTGAAGGCACCCAAGTCGTCGACGTGGAACCAATAAACCAAGTTCTCAAGTCCCTCAGGTCCACAACTAAGAACCCGATCCAACCAATTAACTATGCGTGGTCGAGCGCGGACACATTAATCATAGCCCTGCTAATGACGATAACCCTCGTATTGTGTGGGATACTCGCATCCCTGTCCCGGGGCCAAACGTCACTCCGAGTCGACGTGGATCGCCATGCAGCGCACCTCGATATGATTATGCCTCGCGTAAGCGGGTCCGCAAAGAAGCCACTCACACGGGACAGCGCGACTGAAACTGACAACCAGGGTGAGGAGGAGCAGTGAAACGATGTTTCTAGATGCTTAGTCACTACTCTTGTCGGTGTTGAAACGTTGTTTAGTTGATTTTGGTTGTTTCTGAGGTAAGGATGAATCTTGTGTGTAGTAAGTTAGAGACTAAGAAGCCTTTGACCATGCCAACATGC